TTTCTTTCTTTCTTTCTTTCTTTCTTTCTTTCTTTCTTTCTTTCTTTCTTTCTTTCTTTCTTTCTTTCTTTCTTTCTTTCAAAGATTGTAAGAGGGTTAGAATTACACACAGAAAGAGCTCCAGGCTACAAGGGGTTTACAACCGAGTCCCTTTCCTCTACTAACGGCCCCCACCCGTACGTTGATGTGCTCCGAAACGAAGGCATGAGGAAACTCGTTCCACCACGCATTTACCCCACACCAGCTGACTTTTGCGCAAGGGCTTGCTACATCCTGCTCAGACAAATGACTCGTTAAATAAAAATGCCGCCCTCTCCAGCAAAAGCATTTTTATTGGTAAACTCTCTTAAAATGGCAAATCCCAGCCTCACGGCTGCATCCACATGAGGTGTGGCTTCTGTTAAACGTTCACGGTGTTAATTCCAGCTGCTCGCCCTCCAAAACGCTTTCTATAACCGTACATGCACAGGGCCCATCAGCAAATCCTCCAGGCATTCAGCATCGGCACACCACAACACAAAAGTCCTCGGGAGAAGCAGGAAATAACTGTGGCTCTCCGACAGAGCTGGCTTCACACCACAAGGACACCGAGGGGTGGATCTTCCTGGAGACCCTGAATCTTGGAGAAGCTCTCTCTGCCTGCAAAGGATTAAACCCCAGAGAAAGCCTGTCCCTCAAAGCATCGGCTTGGTTTACATCCAGCAAGAACAATTTCAGATTTTCTCGGCGTATGTCGGTCACCTTGCCTCTCAAATCCTTGACTGAAGTAACGTGTATTCAACACAGGCCCTCTAAGCCATCAACTGCCAAGCCTTGTGGAGGACAGGATGGGCCAAACGCAACCCTTTGGCCCCCAGTCATTGTAAGGCTTGCCTAGGTGTCCCCTTCATAGAAGGCCTTCGCCATGGCCTGCCCCACCTTCACCGCCTTCTTCTCTTTGGCCTCAGGGCCCAGGTTCTGGCGGGCCAGATTCACCCAGTACTGCTCTGTCCTGGAAAGGTAGTCGGCAAATGTTTCATCCTGTTGCACAGCTGGATGTTCTTCCTTGTCTGAAGGAAGGAAAGGCAAGTGGTCAGAGGGGAACAGAGACTAGAAAGCAGTGGTCCCACTGATGGTGTCATATCCCCTTCTTTGGATCTACTAGAACCAAGGGCAGACCTCACCTGCAGGAAATATCCACAGGCTTTGGTCTAACTATCCATCTATTTACCTAATTTACATTAGAATAGAATAGAATAGAATAGAATAACAGGGTTGGAAGGGACCTTGGCGGTCTTCTAGTCCAGCCCCCTGCCTAGACAGGAAATCCTATACCATTTCAGACAATGGTTATTCAACATTTTTAAAACTTGCAGTGTTGTAGTATTCACAACTTCTGGAGGCAACTTCTGTTCCACTGATTAATAGTTCTAACTGTCAGGAAATTTCTCC